TGAATTGCCACAACCACTTTGTAAATAAGCTAGGGTCCCAAATAGGGTTGTCACGGTATGAAAATTTAACCTCACGGTTATTGTGACCAAAATTATCACGGTTTTCGGTATTATCGCGGTATTTTTTAAACGGTGTTGCATATGTTCAGAAAGCATTGATAGTCCTGTTCTACACAAACTGAAATAGTTTTGAAAAGGTTTAACAGTGTTTATTAAACCTAAAATAACACAAAGCCTTAGCAAAAGTGCAACTTTTCACAAGTAAAGGAACAAATAGCTTATTTTTCTGGAACATGTTACAGTAGTCAGTGCAGGTTTAAATTATACAAATCCAAACATTCGAAACATAAACAATATGTAAACAAATCAAAGAAACACCACTTGTTTTCTCATATACTTGTTTTCTTCATTATCAAAATGAAAATCTAAAACTCCAGTCCACACTTGACTTGAGCACTGTACAAGTCAACCTTAAAAAAATATGTATTTAAAATAAATAGCCACTTTAAACAAATTACTAAAATAACTACTACACTATGTAATCAAATCCAAATGTTCAAGTATAAATGGCATTGAATAAGTAAAGAAATCAATGACAAGGAACTAATTGTATATTTTTCTTCATCATCAACAAATAAGACGCTTCATCCAGCAACAGGGTGTCCGTGACACGGTTTAAATGCTGGCAGAGGACGCTGCGGCTGCAGTATATAGTGACTCGTTGCATTCTCCCTCAACCAAAAGTCCTCACGTCATGCATTTAAGCTAAAATGCTAATGTTAACCTACCTTGCACTGGCTGTAGAGACGTGGGTGATCGTCACGCAGATGTGCCATTAGATTCGAAGTGTTGCTGCCTTTTGCAGACACTTGTTTCCTGCACGTTCTGCAAACGGGATAGCCGTCTTCTATTAACTGTCCCTCAGCGTTTTTCAGAAATCCAAAATATGCCCATACTTCCGATTTAGTCTTCTTTGAGGGCTGATGATGTCCTGGGCGCTGCCGTCTCCTCCTTCGGCCATTATTTCAGCTTCAAAGTTTTGGTGCCGTTGCAAACTAAAAAGTGCGTGTGCGCGCCGCGGGAACTTCAGCTGAAGCGGCGGTGGCTGGTAAGGGTCACCGCGCCGAAACCGCGGCCACGGTAAACCCACTGAGATAATTTAGTTTTTTAAAAACTGGACGGTTATTTTTATTGTCAACTTTTTTACCGGGGTTTACAGCTATACCGGTTACCGTGACAACCCTAGTCCCAAATAGAGTCCACAAGCATCTTGGGGTCTTTAGGATTGTGGCAGAACTGAACAGATTTGGGGTACGCCAGTCTCCAAATTACAAATGGCTGAGATTACTTTTCTCCAAAAAGTGAAAGAAGTGTTCACCCTCAAGTTTTTATTTATTTTATTTTTTTTGTAGATTTCGGACACGTTCCCCACTTCTCTGCATCTAATGAGGCCAGCTGAATGGTGTAAGCATCTGATCAATGGCCTTCTGGATGCTTTTCTAGGAAGATTTTCTGAACACATTCCACTGAAAGGATGTCTTGGAGCAAACCCTGAATTTGCTGAAGAAATTATTTCTTTAAAATAGCCCCAAGGTCCCTTCTAAGGGGTTAGCTAGTTCAGGGAAGTACATGGATCTCTCCTCAGATATGAAAGAGAAGCACGTACAGTGCAAAATCTGTACAGTGAAAATCTCCTTTCACAGGAGCACATCTGCGATGCACGAGCACCTTAAAAGGAAACACGTCATGGCGAAGAAGAAGAGTCGCCTTTGTGAGCTAATTACCTCTCGTTAGCCGCTAACATCAACAGAGTTACTTGTGTTCATAGGTGTAGCAAATACCTTTAGAACACAGATGTATGTCATGTATTTGCTCTAATGTTACAAAGGCTGATGAGTAATTTTATCTCGCTATGTTACAGTGTTAAAAGAAAACTCTTCCTCTTCAATGGAACAAAGCAAAAAATGACTATTTTAGCTGGATACATTTGTAAGCGTCGTCGTCGTCGTCTTCCTCCGCTTATCCGGGTCCGGGTCGCGGGGGCAGCATCCCAACTAGGGAGCTCCAGGCCGTCCTCTCCCCGGCCTTGTCCACCAGCTCCTCCGGCAGGACCCCAAGGTGTTCCCGGACCAGATTGGAGATGTAACCTCTCCAACGTGTCCTGGGTCGACCCGGGGGCCTTCTGCCGGCAGGACATGCCCGAAACACCTCCCCGGGGAGGCGTCCAGGAGGCATCCTGACCAGATGCCCAAACCACCTCAACTGGCTCCTTTCGATCCGGAGGAGCAGCGGTTCTACTCCGAGTCCCTCCCGAATGTCCGAGCTCCTCACCCTATCTCTAAGGCTGAGCCCGGCCACCCTACGGAGGAAACTCATTTCGGCCGCTTGTATCCGCGATCTCGTTCTTTCGGTCATTACCCAAAGCTCATGACCATAGGTGAGGATTGGGACGTAGATCGACCGGTAAATCGAGAGCCTGGCTTTCTGGCTCAGCTCCCTCTTCCCCACGACAGATCGGCACATTTGTAAGCACAAGTCATTTTTGTTTTTAGGTGCCTACCTCCATTTGACCATGTAGCATTTGTAGTAACAGGTTACAAAGTTAACTAAAAGTTGTTTAATAAGCCATCATCTTGTTTTTACTATTAGTTGGCACATAACTGATCATACTTCAAACTAGAAGCTAATAATGGGTATATTAGAGCATCCTGGTGCAATAAGCTATACTTTTATGCACGACACGATTAGTCGGCTAATCGTCACCAAAACAGACGTTTAGTCAACTATTAAAATAGTCATTTGCATCAACCTTAGTTCCAAGTATTCCAAGCTGGGCCAAAAATGCAACGTCAGAGACTGTCGTTCACCACATGCTCCAGAGCGTTCCACCTTGCTGCCCATATCCTTTTATGGGTATATTCTTGTCAGAGTCAGACAAAAAGCCACTGACTGAGAAGATTTCTACCACGTCTTCCATCGTAATCTGCAGTCTGTCCCACTATGATGGGCCCCACCCACTAGAGGCGTTTCTGTGTTGTAGAAAACCACCTGAACCATGCAGATTCGAGTCGATTCTGAGTGATGTAGTGAAAAGGGGCCATATGTGATGGCTGCACATCAAGGGTGTACATGTAGTAAAAAATAGTATGTGTTCCTGTTGTTGGATAGATTTATCCATTCATGACCACACACACCGCTCCAGCAAGGTTCTGATTCAATAAACGTATGAGAATTTCTACCCCTTAAATCTTCTGTATAACTTCATGTTTTAAGTAAATTTAATCAAAAACTCCAAAGAATAACCTTTCCAGTGACAATTTTGAGGGAGAACCTAAAACCTCATATGTTAAACTCCTTAGCATAGTATAATCAGATGAAACTCTACTTAAAGAACGTGTTTCTCATTGTGGTGAAGTTGAATTTAACTCCAGCCTGCTAATGATGAAAACAGGTGGAGTCACCAATAGAACTGTACATTTTATTTCCATAACTCACTGTTTCACAACTCCTGGAAGGGATTGGACATGGTGTATAAAATGCACTCTGCCCATCCAGGAACTTGTCAGTCACAAGGACAGCCAGTAAGGGCAGCCAAAAGTCAAGAGGTTGGATCATGACAAAAAAAATGATATCGGTGTGACACCTGATTTCAGTGCTTATTAAACTGAATCTGCATCAAGGGAGAAGGTTCTGGATGAGCACTGGATGAACACCAACTTACATCTGATTCATCCATGAAAATTACTCAGGATGAGTCTGTTCCTTTGTGTCAGACTTTGATTTACATGGGAAACAAGAAACTGACCATTAGAAGGAAAATTGAAGATATATATTAGTGTCACTCAATAATCCCCATCAAATAAAAAGTCTGGACTTTTGGCTATGGGTTATCTGTGTGTAACCAAGACAGAAAAAAAGAAGCTTTACTTTAGTGGCCTAAAAGGAGGATTTGATTTGGCAGAAACAGCAGGTTATTCTCTTGTTTCTCTCTCTTCAGACTTCATTTAGAACATTTTTATTATAGTTTTGTTAAGAGTTTCATAATTCAAATACATACGAAATAAAACACTAGACCTGCTCAGTGGTCCAGAGCCAAACACAATAACGTGTGATTGTTTGCTAAAAAATGTGTATAAACCAATGGGCCGACCCCTGGATGAACACCTACAACTTCTGGAGTCCACCCAACTCAAGACGGCTACCAAAGTGAAAGGATGTCAGCGAACACTAAAACAGCCATAACCTGGGTAAGTTTAAAGCTCCGGTAGCTGAAACTCAACTCCATTACAGTCACCAGGAGCTAATTGGCTGCGTAAGATCTCCAAGTCAAACATTGGAGCTCACCTTGTTTTATTGTAAGTGTTTTATTTTTTCTTTTATCAATCCACTGTAAAGTTTATGAAAACTCTCGGAACTTTTAACTGCTTGTAGATCTACAACTGTTAACCTTTGGGGTAGACCCAATTCAAGATGGCTGTCACAGCCAGATGAACCAATTAGCTACAACTCTATTGACTTCACTGATATTGTGTGAATAACCGGTATTCAGAGTCATTGTCTTTAGCTTAAAACGTTGGTATTAACTGTTGAAGTCAACCCTTTTTTTCTGTTAACCAAATTATCTCATAGTAATCACCATTGAGTGCACTCCTAAAACTGAATCAAATTAGATGTTGGTTCAATAGAAAATGGCCATCACAGTGAACTTTAAGGTTAGTTGACAGAACAGCCGAAACACATTCTCAACAGATCACAAAAGGGCATGGGTGGTTCTTGTTCCTTTAAGGAATGTAAGGAAATTAAAGTAACTGTGTTTAAACAACTGAAATTACTGTTGGGTTCCTGCATTAAACATTAAACATGAACACCTAATCAAACATGCACCACTCTGAATTCATCTCCCATGCTTGTTGAGGAACTCATGTGAATTTAGGTTAAACACTGAGGGGTTAAATGAGTCAGTGAGGTCACACCATCTCTGCATAAACCCAAGTACTTACCGGTAAGATGGCGTGCTCTACAGGTGATCCCTACAGCAAGAAACAGGGCATTAACCGCACCGAAAAACATCTAAACTCGTATGTTATTCATGAGACAGACATTTTGAAGGCAGTGGCTCAGTGGAAATATAGCTCTGTCAGCTTTTTCCAGCTGAGTTCAGCATTGTAAATGGGCTCTTTCTGCCACTTGGAGCAGTATGATGAAGCGTCATCGGCACACAAAGAGAGCTGATCAAGTATCTCCTAAGCCTGAAACTTGGCTTGTCGGTCCAAAATTCCCGTTCCAATTCCAACATGATCGCTTTCACTCCCGAGGCCTTTTCCCACAGTCCTCGTTCCATTTCCATAATTTGAGTCCAACTTGTTTATGAGCGCTTTCTTCCAACTCTTAGGATTATTAGCTCTTGAAGAAACTTTCTGCTTCAGTGAGAACCGAGACGACGTACGTTTACACTTTCTGAAGTTGCTAAGGAAGTCCTATCCTACTGAGTTTCTGCAGTAGCGTCTGAAGTTGCTGAAACAGCCACACATACACAAAAAGAGCCAAACTGTTGCAGGAATGTTGCCCTGTCATCTCAGTGTAAATCACTGTTGGTTTGTGTTGGTTTCCACTGATCTCAGTGTGCAAGATTTTACTTTTATCAGCCACTAGAAGATAAAACCAGCACTTACACTCCAGAGTCATCATTGGGAACACCTGACGGGATGCTTTTTAAAACACAAATTTCTAATTAGCCAATCACATTAGAGTAACTCCCAAGTAATGCCTCTAAGACCCAGTGAAGACAACCTGATGAAGAAGCATTTACAAGACTTTGAAGGTGGCATGTTGTAAGGTAGGCTCTAGGAACCCATCTCTGTTGGCTACTTCAAGCAAAAACCACATTAACTGGATATTGGAGCATGAGCTCTAACAGCCTCCACAGTCACCAGATCTGAGTCCAGTACTGAACCTTTGGGATGTGGTGGAACGGGAGGTTCTTATCATGGATATAGCTGATGCTGTCATGTCAGTAAGGACCAGAATGCTTCAAGAAAGGTTCCAACGTATTGATCACTTTAAATGAAAAATTCAAGAAAGAAGGGCGTCCAACCAGTCCTGGCAAAGTTTACCCAATAAATTGGCCAGTGAGTGTTTTTCTACTTTCTTTTCATCCTAAATTAATTGTTTTTGATCAGGGTATATACAGCAATCCTTAAGTAAAATTTACTACTTTTTAATACTTTTTTTTACTACCTTCAGAATTTATTTTAAAACCATCACAACACTTAATTGCAAGTGTTAATCAGCGACCTATTTACACATATTTTAACATATATAACATACAAAAATAATAGACTTAGAGACTCACTGATGTTGACAACGTATTGCACATATTTATTTTACTTAGAAAATAAGCCAGGCACTTCTGTTCAGCGGTCCAGACAGTTGACCACGAGGCCTGAAATGATGCAGAACGACCACTGAATATGACGTCATCATTATGTGACCGGATATGCTAAAGTAGGGCTGCTCGATTATGGCAAAAACAATAATCACGATTATTGTGACTGAAATTGAGATCTCGATTTTTTAAGACGATTTTTCAATTCATGTAGATTTTTGTTTTTGTTTTTATTCAGTCATAAAACTGCTCAGGGCACAATCAGGGCAAAAATAAACAAGAAGCAAGATGATCACTAAAATAACTCCCGATTCCCAGTATAAAAAGACCAATGTACTTGTGGCAAGGTGGATAAATGAGAGCCCAGGCAGGATTCGATCCCCAGACTCCCAGGTGAGAGTCATACTCTCTAACCAGTCAGCCAAAGAGACATCCCCTTGGCCAAGTAGCCAGGACGCATAATCTATCGGGACACTGTGACAGGACACTCACACTGCCACATACTTATAGCTCATAGTTTATGATCCAAAGGCTATAGACCTTGGTTTAACTCATTTAAGTCTAACCAGTACAGACCCAAATACCAATATCTTGCAAATACTGACAACAAGAATTATACAGTGGCATTTATAACAAATACATGCAAATTGATGTTCACAAAATTTTGCATAACATTTATTGAGTCCTGTCAAGGTGCTCTAGGAGCGTGCACTAGCACCGTGTCCTCAGAGAGATTAGTTATTAGTTATCAGCGTGAGGAACTCATTTCTACCTTATTTATAAACTATTTATTTACAAGTCGTCCATCAGTTAATGTAATAATTGTCACAACCACAGCTGCACCCCCCACCCCCCAACCCGGTCTCACAGCTATCAGGGGCAAGCTGCACGCGCACGCGCCGCACGCGCACATTTAGCCGTTTTTAGCGGCTCAGGAGTCCGCAGGTGCGGTGTGTGTGTCACTCACTCTGGTTAATCCAACAAGAAGCCGGCTCCGAGAGCTGTCTTTAGCGACTATCATTCCCTTTCCTAATGTCCTGAAGAACGGTCCGCAGCGCAGGCGGAGTGTTTAGCTAACCTGCAGGAAACGTCGACGACAGTTATCCAGAAAGTAGCTAAGGGTTACCAGAGATGTTTCTGAGGTGTTCGCTAGGTACTTTTAAGATTTAAAAAGTCAAGAAGGGGGTCTGAAAAGCTGTTGGAAATAGCGTCAAAGTCGCTAAGTTGGCAACACTGTGAGGAGCGCTTCATTTGCAACTCAGGGCAGCGTAAGTGGGAGGAGCAAATAATCGGCTTGTTTTGTTTTTATAATCGTTCATAACATTTCATTCGGAATATATTTCTATGTCGATGTTCAGAATACGACACCTGATAGTCCGAAAAAATTAATACCTAATTTGGAAAAAATAATACCTCTGTGACCAAATTTAACACTTTTAATGGCCTTAAATTTGACTATTTTTATTTATCACTTTTTAATACTTTTTAAAACCCCGCGGACACCCTGTTGATTAGATCTGAAACAAGTGTTTGATCACACAGCTGAAGCCGTTAATGTACTGGACTACAGGGACCCTAAGTGATCCAGACTGAAATGAACACTCAGCTGAACTCGGACATTTTTGCAACTTTCAACCCAACTCCATTTTTTTTGCTGTGCACATTTTCTCAAGTTCATGGTCATTAGTTTAGATGAACAGTTTTCGGAATCAGAACGAAACAAAAAACCTTCATCTCTGACTTCATCAACACTTTTAATTTGATATCCACTGAGTAATGGAGAGTTTGCAGATCCCCCAACAATCATTGTGAAAAAGTCTCTCTCCCCCTGAGATCAGTGGACTCAGTGGTCTCTTTTAATAGACAACTGCAAACTTACCTGTTCTATCTGACTTTTGCATGATCTTCATCACAACCCTCTTCCTATTCTGCTTTCTACCAAACCTGCCTTTCCCAGGATCCACTGATTACCTCTTTCTTAATCATTTTCTCTTCCCCTTTCCTTACATTTTTTTAAAGAACTTTTTTTATTTTTCTCGTTTTCGTGATATATTTTTATAATTAAAAATTATATTTTTTTATTGTGAAGTTCTGAGTTGCGAGTTTTATCTTGAGAGGTGCTACATAAAAGATACTTTTCTGTCTTTTCTTTCTACTGGCCGATTCCGATTGCCAAAGCCATTTTGGGTGTATACACACTTTCAAAAGCTTAAAAAAACAGTTCATTCAAAGTTTAAAGCACCTGTAATAATGCTCTTGATAATCATCAGTAGAATTACATTGAACAGCTAAAAAGAAGTTTAAAAAAACAGAAATTACATGTAACAAGGTTTGTTTACAGAAGATTAATTAGTTGCTTGTATGTTCAGTTTCAGCTAACCTTGTTATTTGAAGATCTATAAAGATCTATGCTAGGATCTGAGATCTGTGTGGCTGACTTCAGCAGTTTCTAGTTTATTTCTGTGTAATTTGACTCTTTTTCTACCAGCGGCCTTTTTTCCAGCAGGTCATACCACCCAACATTGTAGATCCATAGCATCTGATCTACTTAAGAGGCCTCACGTTGCGTTTGAGACGGTGTTAAGGCGTGTGTGATGGGGTCATGTCCGGGGCTCATGGGGGTGAAGGAAAAGCTGCTTAGAAGGGCTATAAAACACTTAGTTCAACCACCAAATGTGTGTGGCCTTGTGGCCTTGTGACCTGCCTTGTAATCATCTTAAAGCAAAACTGTGTGTGTATTTGTCAGAGGTTACATGAACCTTTTTATGAGTAAAAATTAAGCAGAAACAGGCTGAGAACTGATACGTTTTTAGACTTTCAACAAACCATCCCGAAATGTGAATGAATAGCTTGTACAAATAAATCCAGCAGTTTATCATTGTTAATTAAAACGTTTGTCTCCATTATAGGGTTGTGTCCTTTCTGAAGATGCAGCAGGATGTTTTTCTGAAGTATTTTTTGCCACACTGTTTAAAATGGTCTTCACAAACAATTGGTAACCAATACATTAAAATTTTTGTCAAAAAAGGAGTCATTTTAACTGCCTCGCAAAAGTCCAATCCTGGAAAGACCTCATCAAATCATTGAGACTGTTGATTTAATGATTTAATTCAGATCCATCCTTTCAAGTGATCCTTTGGCTGATCCTTCCCTCTCTCCTTATACCCCTTTATGTGCACTAACCACACCTTCTGGGCTTGGAGCAGCCAAACAGGAAGTGAAGCCAGAGCTAGGCTAGCTATATTAGCTACCATACTAAAGCATTGTACAATTAAGTAGCCTGAGCGGAAGTAGCAATGTGGACTTCCTGTGTTATAACCTCAGCCTTCACCACTGGAACTCTGATCAAGGTCCCAGTGGCTTCTCACTCTTAAGCTTTCTTTGGGGTCAGATTCTGGAGATCTGTTTCCTTTTATCTTTTTTCTTACTTAACACAGTGAAGTAACTGGATGTTGCTTTACCTTCGGCTGTCATGTTTCGGCCGGAACTTCCGCCTTCGTCAGAGCCACCAAGTTCCGGCAGAAACATGTCAGCCGAAGGTAAAGAAACATCTAATTACTTCACCGTGTTCAATAAGAAATAATAAGATAATAATGAATCAACACTCAGAACAAATATGTTTCCACTAGGGGAGTTCTGGGAAAT